TGTCTAAGTTGCCCATTCCTGTCAACCCTATATATAGAGGGGATAGGATTGATCCTTGATGTGAAGACTCCTTCCCTCTTACTTGGTATTTTGAGCTACTACAGCCATAAGTCTAAGACAGGTCCGTCAAATTATAGGAATTTACACTATAAAACAACATTCTTGAGTATAATTATACAACTAAAACTTTAGTAAAAACCAAATAATAATACAGATTAAATATTCTTTCATTGCCCTCTCTGGAAGAATTTTGAATACATTGGCTTTAGTTAGACAAGTGAATTAAAGACTGATTCTCGCCAGGCTTTTTGAGTTTCCTTATTTGTAGGTTTGCATCCACCCTTTACAATGATTTTAAAATGTATCTTGTGGTTTGATTATGTTTTCCTCAGAATCCAGTAGTTAGTTAACTGTGTGTGTTGAGAATTTGACAGCAGTGTAAAGTGTTATCATAGTTGCTTTAACTTTATTATAAGATTTAAATATCGTATTTGAAAACAAAACGTTTGTGCACTGTGTGTTTAGCAAGTAAAGTATGACCCATTTTAAAATTGTTTTCCGCTGCCCTCCACCATTCCTCTGCCCAAAATTCTTGCTGTTCCTTAAACAAACTTAATAATTTCCTGACCTCATGCCTTTAATTTGGCTGTTTCATCTCTTTGGAATCTTCTCCTTAACTACAGTGAAATCTTGCTCATCTGAACAGGCCTACATACTTGTTTTTAGATTAACTCTCCATTGTAGTTGAAGTAATTTTTTGTATTATAATTCCCTTTTATTTTGTTTCTCTCTTAGGTACCTTATGCCTTTTATCTTGTGTTGCATTCATTTATGTGCGTATTTTGTGTCCCCAGTAGTACTGTGGACTCCTGCCAAAATGGTAAAACAAATAATTTTAATAAACATCATTTATTAAAAGTAAATAACAAAAACCTGCTGTATGAAGCAAAGGCTGAGAGATACAATTCTTCATGGAGTGATAATATTTTTGTTGGCCTTGGTTGCGTTGGTAAGTGAATAAATCTCATGATGAGTTCAGAGTGAGAAGCAATAACAAATTGCTTATACCTTCAGCAGTTCCTGTTCAGTTCACCTGTTGTTAGGTGCCATGGAGTAGGTTCTGATACATAGCAACCTTCTGTTAAATAGAAGCAAATCCTGCCCTGCTCTGCGCTATTCACACAGTCCCTCTCTCCCTGAGGGTCTCCCTCTTTTTTGCTGACCCTTTTCTTAGCCAAGCATAATATCCTTCTCTGGGGACTCTGGTGCCTTTTAATAACATGTCCAAAGTACATGAGACAAAGAAGTCTCACTATCCTTGCTTCTAAGGAGTATTTCTTCTGCCAACACTGATTTGTTTGTTCTCCAGCCGTTCATGGTATATTTAGTATTCTTCATCAACACAACTCAAGGGCATCAATTCTTCTTTGGTCTTCCTTATTAATTTTTTAACTTCTGTGTGCGGTTGAAAATATCATGGCTCTGATCAGGCAAGTCTTTGTCTTCAAGTGACATCTTTTTTTTTTTTTTTTTTTAAATACTTTAAAGAAGATCTTTCAAAGCATATTTGCCCAGTTTGATTTAATGTCACAACATTTAAGTGACATTAAATGTTGGGGAGTATAGGTTTGATCAGTGGCCTGGGTGAGAAGAGACCTATAGAGTGTGGTGTTGTCGTTATGTGCCGTATAGAGTAGTCATTTTCTCTCTTCATCCTTCAATTACTGAAGACAAGACCTTGGAGTCCTCTGGACTCTTCTTATTCTTCTTCTTTTTTGTTTCCGTTCCCTCTGTTTGTGTTTGTTTGTTTGTTTGTTTGTTTTGGTGGGTGTATACAAAATCACTCAGAAAGATGTAATATTTGAAACAACCAAAAGGCACATTCTGTAAGCCTGCCTCCTGGCTGCCAGCGCTCCGTTTTTCTCTTTCCTGAGTCTAGAGTCCTTAGCTGCTTCCTCTCTCCATTTCTTCATCTCTGCCTCCATCTCTGGTGTCTCTTGACTTTTCTTGTTCTCTCATTCTACATCCAGTCTCTCAGAAAAGTCTACTGGCTTTACCTTTAAAATACGTTCACTTTGTAACAGGTTCTTATCTTACTTCTGCGACTACCATTGTTGTTGCAGGAGCATGTCATCTCACACTGGCTGTCAGTGAATTCGCTTCCTAATTGGTTTCTCGCATTTGTTCCCTTAAATTGATAATCTGAAGGGAATCAACTGTAGATAGTTTTATAATCTCTCTGACATGTGAAAGGTCAAGGTTTTGAATAATAATATCCTTTGGCAGGAAAAACACTGTTCTGCCTTGCTTGAGTTCTGTTTCTAGCTGGATTCGATGTTGTTTATTCATGCAATACTCCAGAAGGAGCTTTTTCACAGAAAACTTGAAAAGTGGCCGTGAAAGGCAACAGTATGCCTAGGATTAATCAGATGTGAAGATTCAATGAAATGTACTCTGTCATAAAAATGTGAGCTCTGATTTCAGCAGCCTCATGTGTGCTTGGTTAAGAGTGTGTACATCAGTGGTCTGTAACTCAGCTTTAATGCAAAAATAAGATGGGTTGAAAGATGTATTCAAATGCATTCAAACACCTTTTGCTACCTTTACAGTTATTAAAAGACATGTCTCAGATTTATAAAAACCCTGAGGATCATATATTTCACTTTTTAATCTTTAAATGAGGAATGAATCTGAATAGTTTTTAAAATCTAATACTGGCATAAGTAAAATTCTGATGCTCTTGACCATAGTTGGTGGTGATGGTGGTTAAATGCTGTCAAGTCAGTTCTGATCCATAGCAACCCTGTATAGGGTTTCTGATAGGTTGTTGTTGTGTTGTGAAGTGCCGTCGAGTCGGTTCCGACCCATAGCGACCCTATATAGGGTTTCCTAGGAGCAGCTGGTGGGCTTGAACTGCCGACCTTGCAGTTCAAACAGTTTTGCAGTCTGACACATTAACCCACAGCGCCACACTTGGAGGCTTAAAAATCAGAGAAGATGATTCAGTTCTGATCAAAGTTGTTTTCAGCAGAGTGTAGATACTACAGGTTTGAAAAACTATTTCATGGACTTCAGTGTCAGTTTCTTCTGGTCTGAACTGGAGGGAATACAGGTATAACTTGTTGTTGTTGTTATTGTTATCTGTTGGTCTAGGCCTCTGGTGCATGTTGATCTTTTATTACTGGTGTGGTCCATAAATTTTTACTTGGCTGAGTTTTTGGAAATAGATTGCTAGGCATCTGGTCGGCTTTAGTCTGGACGTGCCGTTGAAATCTGTTTACCGTCATGGTAACATCAAACCTCTGTTGATTATGGATGGTAGATCTCCCACTTGGAAAGCAAAAATTCTTCCACTGAACTACCATTGCCCCTAAAAATCCACTATATTGAACTAATAGTAATGGTATTGGCAATCACAGGCTTTATCTAAATTTATGTGAATTTCCTCTATCAATTTCTTGAGCCTATAACTCAATTCATTAGCAAATACCTTAAAACATATATTAACTTCCCTTCAGTTTGGGGAGAGAAAATAAAATTCCTGAAAACATGTTTTGTTGAGTGCAATGTATGTCTAGGAGTCCTGATATGGTGCTGTGGGGTAAGCACTGGACTACTAACCACATGGCTAGCAGTTTGAACCCACCAGCTGCTCCTCGGAAACCCCATACAGGATCACTGTGTGTCAAAACCAGTGCAATGGCACTATAATAGTGTGTAGCTTATTTTTGGTAGGCAGAAGTTTTCTTAAACAAAAGGTTGTAGGAACCCATACAGGTAAATATTAAAGCAAGAACTTACAGACCCCATTTGATAGCACAGAACAATCTGCCTGAAATTCTAATGAAAGTATTAACAAATGCAGTAAGATAGAATTCTAATTTGGACTAAAGATACGTTTTAAAGTAATAAATGAAATTTTAATTGTAGCTGGAGACCTTATTTATTCCAATTCTTATGCATCATGAAGGGGATTAATTTCTGTCAGTTTAAAACACTAATAAATCAGGATGTCTTAACCTGTGGTCCATCAATTGCTTTATATATGAGCCCCTGCATTCTTATACAAGGGTTTAGATTTATGGGCAGTTTCCTTGATAGAAGGACCATGTTGTTGTTTCTTGTTGCTTAGTGCCATCAACTTGGTTCCAACTCATAGTGGCCATGCATAGGGTTTCCCAGGAGGGGCTGGTGGATTTGAACCTCTTATGTTGCAGTGCAAACCGACCTTGCAATCCACTGCTTATCCTATAGTGTTACACCAGGACTCTAGCTTGTACCAATTTCGCAAAGGAGTCTATGATCCAAGAAATCTTTCAGTACCACTGATCCTGCCAATATGTATATGCCACTGTGATAAAACACTTGATCCAAGTTTCATTTTATGACTGACAGAAAAAATTCTCTATTTCTAGTTTTTGTGATCTGCCATCTAGGATTTGAAAGAGTAAACCAAATCAAGGCATTATTGCTAATAATGCTGGCAGTAGTAGGTATGCGTATAAAACTATTCCCCTTTTCTAGCATGTTGTTTTGGTATAAATAACTACACACTAAGATCCTTGTGGCACTGTGGGTTAATGTGCTGGACTGCAAAGTTGGTTTGAACTATAAGATTGGCAGTTCAAGCTCACCGGTTGCTCCTTGAAAACACTATACAGGGTCATTATGGATTGGAACTGACTTTATGATGCTTAACAGCAACCACAACAGTGTGACAGTGTAGGATAAGCACAGGACTCTAATGACAAAGTCTACAGTTCAAATCCACCAGCCATTCCTCCTAGACCCTACATAGAGTCCTGGTGTGGCCCTGTGAGTTAATGTGCTGGACTTCAAAGTTAGTTTGAACACCAGGAACCAACTCAAGACCAGTTAACACCAACAATGATACATACGAATAGGATAGGCTATACATATAAGTAATGTGTAATTTCCCTGATTCTAATTTAAACCCATTATGTTTTTGTTTTTTCTCTCTTTATGCAATTACAAATCAGTGAGCATAGCTGATCCTGCTGCCCTTGGCTTCATTATTTCTCCATGGTCGCTGCTGCTGCTGCCATCTGGGAGTGTGTCCTTTACAGATGAAAATATTTCCAATCAGGATCTCCGAGCATTCACTGCACCAGAAGTTCTTCAAAATCAATCACTGACCTCTCTCTCAGATGTTGAAAAGGTAACTGTTAAGTCTTTTTGCTTATTGTTGGTTTTGGCTTTTGATTCTTTGTTGGTGGCAGAGAAAGAAAAGAAACTGGGCTACTTTACTTCAACCTTCTGAAAAAAAAAAAAGTCATTTATTTGAATGCGATCATGTATTCCAAGTTCACATGTATTTTATTTAAGAGTTCAAAAGATAGTTTTATAAATCATAACTTTTTTATTAAAAAAAGTTCCTGGATTTGATAAAACTTATAAAAATATGAACTGTTAATTATTTTTACAGGTACATATTGAATGTCTGCTGTATGTTATGAACACTATATTCTTGAAGGAGATACAAAAATTAGAACTTTGTCCTTGATCAACATGTATGTTACAGTCTATAACATATGGCAGAATGAAATAAATGACAGAGAGGATAAAGGGCTTTTAAAGTCTAGGAGATACATGATTAATTTTAGTGTTGAAAGATATCCACAAGAAGGCAACATTTGCATTGAACTTTGAAGAATGAGTAGAATTTATATAAGTGAAAATAGATCCAAAGGGCATTTAGTATATCTAATGATAATACAAGTGATGTCATTGCTAATGGCAGATGGATCTCGGTTGAAAGCAGAGAATAGCAGAAAGATGTTTACTTGTGTTCTGTTGACTATGCAAAGGCCTTTGGCTGTGTGGATCATAACAAACTATGAATAACATGATGAATGAGAATTCTAGAACGCTTGATTGTGCTCTTACAGAACTTGGACTTAGAATAAAAGGCAGTTGATCAAACAGAATAAGGGGTCACTGAGTGAATTAAAATGATGAAAGATATACATCAGGGTTGCATCCTTTCACCATACATAGTCTGTATGTTGAGCAAATAATTTGAGAATGTAGATTATATGAAGAAGAATGTGGCATCAAGATTGGAGAAAGACTCATTAACAAACTGCGATATGTTGATGACACAACCTTGCTTACTGAAATCAAAGAGAATTGAAGCATTTGATGCTGAAGATCAAAGAACACAGACCTGAGTGTGGGTTACAACTCAATATAAAAAAAACGAATCCTTACAACTGAAACAGTAAGCAACATCATGATAAATGGAGAAATGATTGAAATTGTCAAGGATTTCATTTTACTTGAATCTGCAACCCTTTTTCATGGAAGCAGGAGGTAAGAAATAAAAAGATTTAGTGCATTGGGCAAATCGGCAAAAGACCTCTGCAGAGTTTTGAAGAGCAAAGATGTCACTTTGAAGATTAAGTAAGGTGTGCCTGATCCAAGCCGTGGTCTCAAGTGCATGTGAAAGCTGGACAACGAATACCAGAGAAGGATCGATTTGTCAGAATTATGGTGTTGGATAAGAATATTGAAAATTCCATGCATTTCCAGAAGAACAAACAAATCTGTCTTGGAAGAAGTACAACCAGAACGTTCCTTAGAAGCAACATTGGTGAGACTTCTTTTCCCTTGCTTTGGACATGTTATCAGGAGGGACCAGTCTTTGGAGAAGAACATCATGCTTGGTAAAGGAGAGAGTCAGTGAAAAGAGAAAAACTCTCCTAAAGACATGGATTGACACAGTGGTTGCAACAGGGTATGAAGACATAACATAATTGTGAAGATGAGCAGGACTGGGCAGTGTTTTGTTTTACTGTGCATAGTGTCGCTATGAGTGGAAGCTGACTCAGCAGCACCTATCAACAACTGCAATGATAAGATGTAATAAATTGTCCACTGCAGTTGGGGAATGAGGTCAGACCAGCATTAAGCATTAGGTACATGGTCAGAATGAGGAAAGCTTTGAATGCCTGAATTTGAGACTTTCTTCTAAGGCTTTGAGGATCAATCAGAGCTTTAGGAAAGTGATAGAATGTGATTTATAATTTCAGAACGTAAATTTGACAAGAGTAGATAACTGCCCAAATCCATTACAGTCAAGTTGATTCTAACAGACTTCAATTAGATTCCCACGCAACCTTTTATCTTCCCTAGTTATCTACTCATATGAGTCTCAGACGATCACTAGGAGAGATAAAAGATTGTGTGGGAATATAATTGGAGTGTTTTCATAGTCTGGGGCAAAGAACTGAAAATACTGTAATGCCTTGGAAATGTAGTTAGGTGCCATTGAGTCAGTTCCATCTCTTAGCATTTCTGTGCACAACAGAACGAAACACTGCCTGGTCTTGCACCATCTTCACAATTGTTGATGCGCTTGGGCCCATTGATGCTGCCACTCTGTCAGTCCATCTCATTGGGGATCTTTCTCTTTTTTGCTGATCCTCCACTTTGATAAGCGTGATGCCCTACTCCAGGGACTGGCCTCTCCTGATGTTGTTGTGTTGTGAAGTGCCGTTGAGTCGATTCCCACCCATAGCGACCCTGTATAGGGTTTCCAAGGAGCAGCCGGTGAGCTTGAACCACCGAAAATGCAGTTCAAATGACTTTGCAGTCTGACGCATTAGCCCAGGGCGACACACCAGGACTCCTATGCCACATTAGCCCTGAGAAATTTACCATCACATTAGATAAAGTATTTGAAAAGGACTTTATATATCTGTGTTGTTGGTTATTGTTTTGTATAATAAAGGTACTCAAATGTATTGCTAATATTTTATTTTTTTAAGCTAGACAGTGCTTACATAGCTATTCATTTTTATTATTTAATAATAATTTGACAAAAATAATATTTTATCGTTATGTTTATCTGTGTTCATTTATTCTGTGTGCTCTCTATATAATTCGGAGTCCTGGTGTGGCACTGTGGGTTAATGTGCTGGACTGTAAAGTCGGTTTGAACCACAAAGTTGGTGGTTCAAACTCACCAGCTGCTCCTTGGGAACCCTATATAGGGTTGCTATGGGTTGGAACTGACTCGACAGCACTTAACAACAACATATTATATAATTTAAACATTAATAACAGACAGGGTTATTACACCATTAAAAATAGGCAAGTTGTGTGTGCAAATTATATAATTTTTGGGATTTCTGTTATTTCAGAGTGCCTTTAAGCCAATGAAATGACATAAAAACTTTCATATGTATGAGCAGTTTTTATGGGGAAGTATTGAGAACTAACTGCCTTTCAGATGGGTCTGGTAACCTCAGAAGAACTGTGAACCATTACGATAGAGTAAAGCCATGGTTGTTGTAGTCTTAAGAAACTATTGAATGATAGAAGAGTTATTCTAATTAGAGTAAATACAATTAATTAGAAAATTCTTACCAGAAGTAATTTTCCATTGGTGTCTATGAAGTTATTTTTGTAAGGCATTTAAAACGCACAATTGAAGAAAACAGTGCTAAGTTGGAATTTCAGGAGTATAGGTAGTGGTGGTGGTTACGTGCTGTGCAGTCGGTTTCGACTCATAGTGACTCTGTATAGGGTTTCCTAGGCTGTAAATCTTTATAGGAGCAGAAAGCTTCATCTTTCTCCCGCAGAATGACTGGTAGTTTCCAACTGTGACCTTGAGGTTAGCAGCCCGACTTGTAACCACTACGCTGCCGGAGCCTTTTCAAGTTGCCCTGAGATGTCAGGATCTCCTAAGGAGCCATTCTTTGGGAGCAATTATTAAACCACCTGTTTAAAAAAGTGATTGAAGCCCCTTTAATAATGCTTGATGCTTAGAAGTACAGATAAGATAGGTGTTGTATTGTTGCTCTTTAAAGTTCATTTGTTTCAGAATCAAATTAGCCTGCCCCATGCTTCAAAGCACCTGTGCAATTCTAAATACAAAGATAATCAAAGGTAGGCTTTTAGATCCCTTCACTATTTGCAACATGAAGGAAAGGTCAGAGGAATGATCATGTACTCTATCTAGCATGTTAGTTAACAGTGTGTGCCTAAGGTTCATACATTAAATAACTCCAGTTGGTCAAGGGTATGCCATTAACCTAAACAAACAGATAAACAAATTGTTACCATCAAGTCCTAATTTCATTGCTGTTGAGTCTTTCCCAATTAGCAATGATCACCGTTCTAAAGTAGAACTGCTCCGTGGGACTTTCTTGGCCATAATCTTTATGAAAGCAGATCACCTGGTCTTTCTTTTGTGCTATCTTACCACTGGGTGTATTTGGCCCACTAACCTTGAGTAACTACTTGAGCGCACCACTGTTTGTGCTACCCAGGGACTTGCCATTAACCTAGCAATTACGAAATACTTGCTGTTGGTTGTATATAAAACTTAAAAAAAAGTTCAATGCTTGTCACATAACTGTCATCGAATCAGTTTGACCCTGTATAGGGTTTCCCAGGAGCGACTGATGAGGTTGAACTACTGACCTTGCAGTTCAAACTGGCCTTGTGGTACAGTGCTCATATGACCTAGTGAGTGTTTAGTAAGATCTTGACACATGAAAATGTTCTCTTTCATTCAAAATGGTTGTATATAGAAGTGTTTAGCAAACACTTCTCAGAGAATGAGTGTGTAGGTGTGTCTGGCAATTTTCATAGTGTTGTATGAAAATATTTATCTTACTTCCACCTATATAAATAGGCACTTTTCTTTGATTTACTTTAAGGTATCACTTTTTAAGCTAACAGGCACCTTTTAATAACTCTTGGCATTAAGTGCCATCGAGTCAGTTCCGATCCATAGCAACTTTGTATAGGGTTTTTGAGGAGCAACTGGTAGATTTGAACCGACAACACTGTGGTTCACAATCCAGTGCTGTTGTTCAGTGCTGTTGACGTGGTTTCAACCCTGATTAGGGTTCCCACGTAACAGAGGTTGAGTTTGAACCTCTGACCTTGCAGTTAATGACCTTGTGGTTCAGTTCTTTTCCTACAGCATAACAGTGGTTGTAGTTGCGATGTGCCGTGGAGTCGGTTCCGACTCATAGTGACCCTGTACAGGGTTTCCAAGGCTATAAATCTTTACGGGAGCAGAAAGCCTCATCTTTCTCCCACGGAACAGCTGGTAGTTTCTAACTGCTGACCGTGAGATTAGCAGCCCGATTCGTAACCACGATGCTACCAGAGTTGGGTTCATATTGTTCACAATAAAATTTT